TAATACTAAATAAAATGAGACTCACCATGGAAGTAACATTAGAACACTAAAGATCAAAGATGGAGTCGCCCTGATGATGAAGGCACCACGGACCTCTCAAGCGCTGGTAAACCTATGCCAGACTACACCCAGAAGACAGTCGAAGCTGTAGCGCCGTGCAGTCTGCGAGAACCTCAAATCTTGCTAATAGAAGATCTGTATGGAAGTACATTTACTCTGACTCTGGCATCTGTAGTCGTGAAATATACATCCTCTCGCTTTTTAAGAAGCAAATGCACTGAATGCGGTATCAATGTAACGAAAACATAAAACAGCCTTAAATAAAAAAGAACAACACGGAACTCCTCAATACAAATTCTTCTTTACAGGATCAGTTGCAAACAAAATAAAGAAATACAATTGGTAAAAAAATATTGAAGTTTTCTAAAGAAAGTCGTTCGAAGTCTGTTGCTTGTAACAGAAACAAAAGTGGGAAGACGAAACTAACAATAATTTTAGAGTGGTATAACGTGATAAGATGAATGGGACGAACTTAGCTTAAGATGGGGTTCATTGGGTTAAACAGTGCCATGACTTTTAACGTAGTACGATTTATGGTCAGCAAAATCAATTTAATTTTGAGCCCGTTAATACCAGAATATTATATTAATAATGTTGTCAAACAATCACAAATTAGTTCTCGATTTTAATGTGTTTATAATTTAATAAAAACATATAAATTCGGCAGATATGATGTAATACAAGAGCTGTTCTTTTACAGCGGGTAGATTTCAATGCAAGATTAATTGTTTAAAAAGTTCCAGTCCGTTTCTTCGTAAGAATGGAGAGGGATGGGACAGTTGAAACTTTGTAAGGTTTATAAACTAATTATTTCTTTTCAATATAAAAACCGTACGAGTCGAAGCTGTTTTCTTCTTTGTTGTTATTTAAGGTCTTCCAATAGCTACAGAGAGAAAGAAACGGACTACAGAAAGTTCCTCTCGTCCATAAGATTGACTTATTCCCTTGTCAGTCCTGCAGAAGATAATCAGCCTTCAGCTCAATTCCTGTGCTCCGTACAAATAAGAACAAGCATTGCATTTGTGTCACCTCAGTTTCTCAAGTGTTATCATATTCACAAAGTTTGTTCTGAGGAATCTTCCCCCATTTGCTTTTTATAACCATTTCCTTTTAATGTTCTCCAAAACTCGCTCTTACACTCTAGAAATCATTCCATACGGAGAAGAATACACACAATTTTAAAATCAACCTCTTATGAAAGAAATAAATAAAATTTAACGGGTGGACTATTTAACACGGTCGATGTCTGTATTATGTCGAAGAATGTCTGCACACAAATCAGAACATTTAACGAAACCGTATTTGATGAATCTTTCGGCGTTTCGTCTGTCGGTCCGTAAGAAAAATGATCAAATGTCCCAAGGGTTGAAGTACAGGTTGTTTCAAAAGTTACTCTCTGATCTGACGATCTCATTTCTGAAATACAGACGAGTTTGGAATGTTATTTCAAGTTCCATACCATAAATAGTATGAAACAGCCTATTAGTTTAGTAAAGTCCGTTCATCTGAGTATCCGATAGCAACAGAGCCCAATAATACAATTGTTTTCGTTAAAATTCGGTGCGTTAATATTTTACTTTACTTTTACATTAGGAATAAAATAAATTATAGAGAGATATTTCAATTCTGATTTAGCTCATTTCATTTTAAGCGTAATATGACTTGAGAGCTTAAATTAATTTGTCAGTATTTATAACTCCTTTTCGGATCCTTACGAAACATTACATGGTATCTGTTACAAGCGCGTTGTCATGTGCAAGTTTTATTCGTTTAATTTGGTTTAAATGTTACTTCTCTTAAGAACTTGTACATATACCTGTTAAGCTACATTATTAAAATACATATATTCTTAATATATATATGCTTGCATTAATAAATATAGAGTAGTTTTAAAGATAAAAAACCTGAAGATGATGCTATGACATTGAAACATGTAGTAGTATAAAGCGCAATATTGTAACATCGAGATAACGATGAATGGCGCAGAATATTAATATTAATTTTAAATTTTAACATCAACAATTTAAAAGTTTGTGTATAGACTTGAATAATAAATATATATTTACATATATTCTGTTACACGAGTGAGGTTTAATTCGCTTAATTAATTCTACACCCCATAAAGGTCTACATGCATTTCTGGGTAGGCCTACACATCAAATATTCACATGGAAGAAAACATCTTAAACACATTTTAGAGATCCATAAAATATACATATGTTTCGTGTATTTTTTTTACATAAAAGTAAGTGATTTCGAGACATTGTCGAAATAATGACAGTAACTGTACGATATCAAAAATGTCCAACAACGTCTTATCTACCTGCCTTGTAGCTATTTAAAATACACGAAACGAAATGCGAAGTCTTACCGCAGCTCCTTTTTAAAGTAAAATCTGGAATAAAACATTGACCATTATTAAAACAGCCAAACGAAAGTGATTAGCTCTATCGCACTTCTTCGCAAAAAGCGATAAACCGTAAGATTTCCTTTATCATCACGCACAAATAAATAAAAAACAGAACCAAATGCATTCCGCTGCCGATTTGCCGACAATACAACGACACGAAAACTATAAAGTTTGCATTCCAGCATTTGTAGGAATGCGCGCATAAAACAATTTCCAGGACGTTCAGTAAAATTTACCAGACGAACACATTTCAATAAGATTTTATATTAAAAATGTTCTACATATTTAGGTCAGTAAAAAGTAACCCTGCCAGGAAAACAAATGAAGTCGGGTATCCAACACTGAGCCCATAAAATTTTCCAAACAGTTCTCTAACATTACACACACAAATTCGTCCGCTACC